CATTGCACCATCACTGCAGCAGCCGAATAAGGAACAGTTGCGCTGTAGCAGGCCGTCACAGGGGCGCCTCAACCGCCGTTCATAGTTGGAGAGAACTGCCTGGTATTCGAGCTGAGGCTCGCATTTCAGGAAAAAAATTGCTCAGGCCAAGGAATTGCACCTGAAGTTCTGGTGATTTTCTTTTGAGGCGAAGTTCCTGCTTTCGCTGCGAACATTTCACCCAGCAGTAACGGATTGGGAATCAGTCGCTGGCTGCAGTTACTCTTTTCCTAATCTTTATTAAAATGAAGCGTGTTTTGTTAAATGAATGGTAATAATGATGAAAATATTAATGACAGTAAGTGATAGTAATAATATTGATGGTAATAGTAATAATAATGGTAGTGGCATTAATGGTGGTAATAATAATGGTAGTGATAATAATAACGACAACAACAATAACAGCATTAACAACAACAGTAATAATAGCAGCAATAATAATAATAACAATAATAATGATGTTAAAAGTTCAGTAAGTGGAGAAATGGAAGAATTGCTTTTTTGCTGTGGCGTGCTCTCTACAGCAGTATCGCAGGGAGCATTTGATATTCCTGGTTTCACTGCAGCATTTAGATGAAGATTTTTGGGTTGGGAAGTAACAGTAACGTATCAGAGAAGCAGTGAGCCTCAGTGTGCTCATTTTGTAATCCCGAACTATTCTCATCCTGAATGCTGTTTAATTAAAAATGGTTTTATTTCCAACACAGCAAAACTCACCCAGCATACTTTACTGTGTGAATGAGCATTATTCCTGAACTAATCGACTCTCTCTTCTGCCTCATCTTTCCTTCGAATTCCTGATTAGCTCTAATCGCTGTTGAGATTCGAATTTTGGCTCGGGCTACTCGTGTTCAGATAAGAGAATGATGAAGGAAGATACGCCACGCTTGAAACAGCCGTGTAGTTTTATTGAACTTGTGAAAAGTGATTGATTGCTGTTCTGGGCTGTAAACAATTTCCAAAATTTTAGTTTTTTGGATAATTCGGCATTGTTTGCCTTCAAGATGAGCATATTTTTTAAATAGAATTGTTTAGAAAAAGAACGGCATTGATATTTTTAGGACTGGAACAGCTGCTGAGTTAAAGCGCCGAGGAGGACTTATCCATAAGGCAAAATCAAAGAACTTGGGTTTAAAACAATTCCATCATATTAGCACGAATTGGCTCATAATCCTAAACTGCAGTTTGCCTACTTCAATAGCAAGACTGGTGTTATTAGAAGCCGTTGCTGCAGTGTTAACAGACGAGGGATTCGTTAATTTTTTTAAACTCCGTTTTGGCCTGCAGGTTTTACTAGAGCGACAAGTGCTGAGATAAAATAGATTAGACTGAGAAGAAACAGCCCAGAGTAGAAATAGGGTCTACAGAACAGAGCAAGGAAGCCAAGAAAAGCGCTTGCTGCTGATGAGCCAGTTCGTGCTGATATGATGGAAATTTTTTGAAGCTGGCTTGAAACCTTGGGATTATGAGCCTAGCAGCTATAAAAAGACAGTTACAAGAAAAGCATTAATACTCACAAGCGCCCCCTGAGAATTAGCGACAGCTGGTCAGGGAAAAATGAGTATCATCATTGGGTTTGGGCCTGTGTTTGCTTGACTAGCAGTCTTTTTACTTCTCTGCAGCGCTAGATTACCCTTTACCCCGGCTCTCCTGATCCGGAATATTCGCGCTTGTCAAATACAGTAAATATTCGAGTTTATAGTGTTTTTTGCAGAAGCTTAGCTTAATAAGGCCCATTTGTGTTAAAAATTAAAGTGAAATCCAAATGAGAAACTACATTTAAGTTTTTCTAAATGCTTTGATAAAAACAATACAGCTTATCAGTGATAAGATGAGCAGCGTGCATGAAACAGTTATTTTACTATATTTATTAGATAAGTATAATTTAGTTTGCGCCATCGATTAGAGATCCGCTTCGCTCCACTGATTTTCCGTTTAGTGCAAAACTGACCCTCCCGCCATCCCATACACAGTTTATAAAGCAAAGTAGGGGAATCTCATCATTCATGGGATTTGAACCGAGGTCACTGAAGTCGATGCAGTCCGTATAACATTCAGGACCATTTGTTCATCGAACTGTTTCCGGAAACATAAAAATAGAGTTTTGTGTTTCAGTTCAGTACAAAGGCAGGTGGCTCATTAAATTCATAGTTCTCGGGGGATGGATCTTCGTGCATTGTCAGTGAAAGTGCATAAAATAACAAACAGAAATGAAAGCCGCCACATCTTTCTGTTTAAAGTAAAAAAGGTGAAGATTCTGATCGAAAACTAAATTTTAAAATCGCCGGGAAGTGATCTTTTGAAATTATCGAAAAAAGGAGGGTGCCTGTGTGGTGGGAGGGAGGTTGGCACATGAGAAGAGGAAATTGCTTGAAAAATTTATTGTTCTCGGTTGAATGAGCAAGCAACGGCATCGGGTTAATTTGTTAATGAGGGGTGATTCTCGGCTGTTGATGAGGCTCATCCAGAGAGCGGGCACCGCTCCGGAGCATCACTTACCCCGCCTGCCCCCACCTTCTCTCTCTCTTGCTCGCGATTCTTGTCATACTTTCCCGGGGCTGCTACTCACTGTTGCTGTTCATTGTTCAGTTGTCGGCTTCTCAAAGGGCTGCTATGATCCAGCAGTCACTCCTCGTAAGGTTCGAATTGTTTCTACTTTGTCCCTTCCCCCTGCGGCTTCTCCCCACCCGTTCATCGCTTGAATGGTTTTGGTTAATTTGAAAAAATCCCTGTGGATAGAGTGGCCCGCAGTTATTAAGTGTTGTTGTGGTTGCAGTGGCAGTTACACCTATTCTACTGCCCCACTTCACCTCACGTTTCCCCTCCCCCTTCGTCATGTCCCTCCCTTCCATAAATTTATCATTCATAATAATTCATATACAATGGTAGTTGGAGGAGTGAAGGGAGGGGAACACATAATTATCGCCATCTCTGGGCCACGCTGTATCACTGCTACCATCCATAATTACTCGCAGCATCACTGTGTGTAATCACGTCGAAATTAAATAGTGGATGCAATGAAATGAAAACTTTTCGGTCGGTGAAACTACAAATGCAGTGGCATTAGCAGAAATGTGAGCGTAGTCAGCAAATAAGCGAATCGAGGGAAATCGGCGCTTAGGGGCGATGAATAAAATGATTTCGGATATGCGGCCACTCTGCCTTAATCCGAAAATAATGCCTCATTTTGGAGTCAGCAACAACAACTCGGGCAGTGCTGCTCGCTGCAAATTCCGCTTGTCGCTCAAAACGCCACATGAAAAAGAGCGATTTAAAGACACTTAAGGGGAGGACATCATTGAATAAGCTGAAATGAGCTTACTAAGACACGGCAAGCACACAAATCGTAGGAACTGTTTTTTGAATTTAATAAGGTTCTAATGCTTTACAGCTTCTTTTGGACTGACGAAATGCATGTATACCGCATCAGAAAACAATCTGCGAAACTGGGTATCGATATTTTTGTAGTTTAAAAATTATTGTTTTGCAATAACTGTATAGGGCCAAAGATTCTTGCGAACCTTTGCTTAGAAGGTTTCGGTTTTCGTTTCCACCAAAAGGAGCTGTGAGGTTAAATTTTGAGTTAGTCAAAATCTCATCGCATTCACTTACTACAGGAAGCTAAGGTACTCTCACTATCCCGAGTGGTAAAAAGTACCAGCAACAGCTGTATGCTATATCGACAGCGCTTTTCTGGTGGTTGCTTAGAAGCAAGCCAATTCGGATCTGACTTCCTAGCGTATGCCAGCGCCAGTGTATCATCGAAAACGAGTGGGGAGAGTTTGGATGTCCCACTGATAGGTAAGGACGATTAGAGAAGCGAGTTTTCTCAAACCTTCAATTTTACTGTTTGCAAAGAACCATGGAACTTCACTGCCATCAGATACGCCATTCTTCAGTTTATAGTTATACTCAGTAAATTTCAAAACTCACTTTCTTTTTCGAAAATTAGCAGCCAGATTATTGTTTCCTGAGATTTTAGATCGTCGAAATTTTAAGAAAAAAATCCTAATATTTTTTAATCCTAAATTGCTGCCAAAATCAATTCAACAGCTTCCCTTTGCTTGAACTACGACTGATTCTTGTAACTTCATCGAAAACGCAGGTTTTAATTTCTGACTGATTGAACCAAATTTAATGGACTGTTGCATACGAAAAAAAAAGTCAGTATCGGATAGGCTGGGAGAAAGATGTTTGCACATTTCTGTTGCGCAGCTCTGAAATCTGAGATTTTACGAAAAGTTGAGGTATTGATCCAGAAAAACAAAAAAAAAAAAAAAATCATTTCTTCTTTCTGGTCGCTAGAGCGGGTCAGAGGCGATTTTTCTTGGTAGTGGTGCTTTGGATGGCGCATTTGCTCTTGTGGTTGTGGTTCCTGACCAGAAGACCCGATTGTTTATACGGAATTCTGTAGTTCGAAGTGGGGTCACAAAGCCACAAACATAAACATAGCTTGTATAAATAATGGGAACATAAACAATATATCAGCTTCATTTGCGCAAATGTTCCTGAGATATTAATACAAGAAGCTTAGACTGCAAAGAAAATTAAACATCCAAATGAAAAAATTTAGTTTAGAGCTTCGAACAGCGTGATTCCCTTTGCTCTTTTCACACTCCAGTACAGTGATTAAATGAAATGTAGTAGCTGCATAGAAGATTCTTTTATTTATCCGCCGTTGTGCTGTTACATCTTTTTCCTTGATTCTCGTGTAAAAACTGACCGGCTTGGATGAGGTCAGTTGGTCATCCTACATACATGCCAGCTGATGAATGGGTATAAAAATGACTAAAAAACCAGCATTACAAAATCGAATCAGTCCTGTTGTACGTCCGCGCGTCATGTAGTACCAGAATATTGGGCAATACTGATGGTATCTGTTAATGATTATACAATAACTGGCTAGCACCCGTTTTGATAAGAGGGCGTAATGCCCTGTTTAGAGGCTATTAACCAAATCACTACTTTACGTCACTGAATGTCGGTTCACGTGAAAGGCCGTCCCGATTATTTTGATCATTCAGATTGGCACATAAGTCCACTGTCTCTTCACTCGATTCATTGCTGGCCAGCATTAGATTCAGGTTCGGTGATCCTTGGCTGAATTTACCTAACTGTTTGAGAAGATCCTTTATGAACCATTTTTCTGCTGGGACCACAGTGATTGACAGTTCGCTGGGGATTGATTCAGAAAAGGAGCAAGTGTGAGGAGTGATGGTTGTGCTGCTGTTCATCGGAGTTCGCTTGCCTGATTCGCTCTCATTAAGTTAATCGTGTCGCAGTGGAGTTTCCATTATCGGAATGCGTTTTCGTCCTAACGTGGTTGTTAGGCTGTCTGGCCGTTCTCCTTTGAAATTGAATTACGTCGAAGAGCATCCAATTTCGTGCAAAATAAATCCTCAAGCACCACTGCAAATTACATCTTTTTTTTTGCCTGCTTTTGTTCCATACTATAAATGAATTTTTCGAATTTTTTCATCTCAGGACAAGAGCAGAACTTTTTTTAAAGCACGACCTAGAGGAAATAGTAGAAATTGGTGATGCTCGCAGAAACCTCTCTCTTTCTCTCCCAGTACAAGTCGTAAAATTTTGCTACTAAATTAAATTTGATTCACCACGACTTTTTCGGAAGATGGCGGAAAGGCTGTGATAAAATTTTCCGATAATTGGCGGAATGAGTAACGCTTCGCTGATTGTTGGCAATAAATCAGTTACTTTCAGATTTAAAATTTCCAAAAACTAAAGAATTTTTGCATGGCGAATTGGCCGTTCAGATTCTGTCTGGTTGTATTTCCTGATTAACTTCCGGCCTGCGTTGAATATACTTTCCTACAAGAACTCTGTTTATGTGAGCTGATTTCAGATACACTGCTTTCTCTTTTAGTTACGAAATGCTAGAATGAAACGAATTCTGAAAGCTAAAAACACAGCTAAGTATCGTCCCTCGAGAGCTAGTGTCGTGCGGCACTTCAAGGAAAAGGTTTTTTCTCTTCAAAATTTGGATGTCCTCCCTATTCGTCTTTTTTGGGCGGGAGTATTTGTAATCTGAGTTTAGCATTTTTGTCTTCGAGTGGATTTAGCACCTTCCCTCTGGATCATTGCTCACCTTCATAACTTCCCTCCGTTAGGCCGTAGATGAAAGCAAATACTGCTTTTTCATTGTATCCTCCCAACAGACTTTGTCTGACATTTGACGGTTTAAAGCATGTGGTTTCACAGACAAGCAAACATATGATTTCTGGCCAATATTTCACACTGTTCGTACAATTAAAGCAGCGATTTCAAGATGACCTGTGCTTTCTGTTGTGTGGCGTTAATTTAACCCTCAAATGAACAAGAATTTTCTCTTCCACTTCCCTCACTAATCCATTCGACCGTTTACTGGAAAGTTTTTACTTTTAGGTCTGATTTTATTTTGGGTAAGAGTGATGTGAAAATAAATGCAATTAATAAGTAGGGCTAATGATATTGCTACGAGTTCCTGATAACTCCTTTGTGAACACAGATTATAAATTTCGATTGGTCCGTGATATGAAATATGCTGGAACCATATACACGCACATACACACAACACACACACACACACACACACACAAAACGTACATAACATTAGCATCCGATTACAACCACTCGATTTTTATATGCATTTAAATAATTTATTAATAATTTCGAATTTATTATGGTTCACCGCAAAAAATGCTATCTGCCGATTATAAACAAGCAGCCTGTCTGATTAATTTTGGCTGAGTTGCGGCCGTTTTGCACTGAGACAAAATGCACTGGAGGGGTCGTTATGGTTGTAGCACGATATGCAGGGCTTTGCTTCCCTTTCCCATATAGCACCGAGGCAAAAAGCACAAAATACAATTGGCGGCAGAATTTCTAAATCGCCCTCTATCAACAGGATTCACGTTGCTTCCATTCCGGCAAAGAAATGCAATGTTTTTTAAGCAGCGCAGCGAACTCATCAAAAACCATTTTGTGACGCCAGTTAAATGATCCGTCCGGTCTACTATGCGGCCATCCTCAGTGTCTTGGCTCGCCACCATCAGCTTTGTTACACAGCTAAATGATGAACGAATGAATGAGGCGTTGAGCGGTAACATGAAAAGCGCAACTTGGTCCTTCAAAACGGGCAGTTTGTTTAATGTCACCGAATAACGCACCACACATCCAAAAAATTCACATATTTCTGTTCACTTTCTAATGCTACAGTTAAATTTCGCTAGAAAGTCATTATGGACGAAGTCCCTCCAGAAACGTGTGTTGTTATCCAGTTACTAAGAAAGTATGAAATTTTTGAAATATTCAGAAATGTGCATATTCGTCCAGTAATCGGGGAAGTGAAGTAAGGAATGCCCACTTGGAAAGCATGTGATTATTCGGCATCTAGGAAAGCATCCCAAGACTTTGGCATTTTCAAGTGCAAATTAATTTGTTGAACATCAGTTTCTGCTTTTCATATAGTTTGTTTTTTTCTTAATATTAAAGGACACTTCCACGGTCTTACAGCATTCTTACTTCTTGATAAATCTCCAAGGGAATAAGAATAAAGTTATGTTTTCGCTCATAAAAAAAGCGGGCTTTTCCATCAGTGGAATTCACTGAGGAAAGAGTGACAATCGAGGAGGGAATGGGTTGGGAGCGGTAGGAGCGTTTTCTGTAGCTAAAACAGTTTTTTTTTTTTAATGAAATGTGTCATTTTAGCATACTCAGAAAGCCATGTGTTCTTAGTGAGCAAGATGATTTAATAATGCTACTTTTCTGTCCCATATTCAATTTTATCAAATTGTATCGTGTTATTCATTTTCTCCGAACGCTTGTACTCCCCGTCTTATTTAATTTGAAATGTAATGATTGCAGCAAGAAATAACTGATGATTCTATAAGATGGAAAATTTTTATTTCTTTATGTCAAGTCTTGAAGTTTATGTATTTTTGAAATTTTTCGGGCACATATAAGTCCCATTTTTGAGTTTACGTTTTTTTATGCTTACAACTGTGATGAACTTCCTTCGTGGAACTTTGTTTAATAGGTATCTTGGGTTGAGCGGCGCATGTTTCCAAGAATGATAGTGAGCCTTAACCACAGAAAAGTACGTAAGAGTTGATTCTAAAGCCGATATTCGCCTTCAGAACACACTGAGCTTCCTTATATTGCATGATAATGCTATTCAAAAGCGGTGCGCTTAATTGCATTTATGCAAATTTTTGCTCTGTGCTTTATCGAGACATCGAGGGCCATAATGGACCGGGATCACCTGCAAGATCCGATATCGCCGTCTCATCATTTTAATTATGCATGCACATTAGATTTCCTGCTACGATTATTATTATTCGGCGATTAGCTGAGGAGTAAAATTCCCCAATGAATTTGTCAGCAAAAAAGAGCAGGAAGTTCCGTATCTTCCAAACACTGTGGAATTGGTGAAGGTTTTGCTGTTCTTTTGCTGTGTGACATTTGACCCCTGAAAACCTTATTATAATCACAGAATCGTATTTGAAGAGATAATTTGCATATATGAGTGACACGAGAATGATCAAAACTGCGCTTTTGGGCGATTCATAAGTTTTCTTTTAACTAATCTTTGAATGGACTGAGCAAATCATATAATTCCGATTAACAACATCATGCAGATATGTAGATATGTCTTTGCTGGTGCATAAACTGAATCAATTGCAAACAGAGTATGATAATTGCTGTTGCGGCGATAGAAGAGTACCAGCACCTTGACCAGAATCTGTATTTAAAGGTGCTCCATCGGCTAAGTTTGGCCTTTTCTTAGACGAAATTCAACCTAGTGGTTGCGCAGTCTTCTTTTTTTGTAGTCCTTTTCCTGCTCGTTATTCTTCTGGCATATTTGTCTTTTGACTTGTTCCAAGCTGACCTGCTGTGAATTATAAATTGTTACTGGGTGGACGGTTTGTCGGATGAGTTTTGATTGATCGGTTTCACAAGCTGCAATGGCCAGAGCCACTGTTTGCTGATCTAATCTGTCAGTTTCTTGAATGAAATTGTTGCCTGTGGTACGCTGAGACCCCCGACTGAGGAGTATTGTCTTCTCGAAATAGACCAAATTGCTTCCCATTGTCCCCTTGCTCTGCGTTGGAAAGTTTACAGTTTAGTATGTCCAATATGACCTCAATTTATGCAAATTTGAAGGCGCTTTTTACACAAGAACCGTTCTTTCAAGAGTTTCCTGCATTGTGCAAACGGATAAACAACACGCGGATTTGATATGCAACTTCCGACAACGGCCATCTCATTTAGTAATACAACCTTACAGAGCAAAGAAGCGGATTACTGTTTGAACCAGTATATCAATCGTGCAAAAAAATAGCAAATTTTAATTTTTATACAGCTGAATTAAATTCATAACTCCCTCCATTGTTCATTTTTTTTTTTTTTTT